ATGTATAGACCCCTGTGAGCTTTTAAACGGCGAACACCTCCTCTGCTGTGTCTGACAGATACATGTATTTGCTGACGGACCGTCTGCTTCTCTTTGGTATTTACTGTCGTCTTGAGTTTAACAACGGCTGTCATGCGCGTCACAAAAGCCCGGATGTTGTCAAAGTCCCTCCCCCAGAGGAAGCCTCTCCAGACCAGAGGCCCTTCTGTGTGAATGCCGATCAGTGGAAGAGATGCGTCAGCTGCTTTTGTGTGCGTTCACAGTTTGTTACATAATACATTGACCTCTTAACCATGGTTCGTGTGAGGTTTGCATAACATAGTCATTTTAGAGTAAGCTATAGGCTATTTGGGGTTTACTACGGAAAAATATGTATTTTAAATGATAAACAACACACTTTTTGCAACAGGTGGCATTGAATTTATGCTGCGTCCCAGAGCCCCTCATCTATGTTCATTCTCAGTAAACAGTGCCATTTTATTATTATTATTATTATTATTTTGGTCCCCATGAAGAAACAAGGTTATAAATCATAGATTTTATTAAAATCTAAAAATGCAAGTTTTGTGTGAGATGCAGAGTTAGGGTAAGGGGATAGAAAACACAGTTTGTACAGCATAAATGTGTGTGTGTGTGTGTGTGTGTATATGTGTGTGTGTGTGTGTGTGTGTGTGCGCGCATGCGTGCGTGTGTGTGTTGTCACTTAAGTTCAAAAGGTTACGAAATTTCAATACTTTTCTTAGATTCAGGCCAAAGACTTTCAGGACTGTAAGGCACCCAAATACTATCAGATTCAGAATCAGAATGAGCTTTATTGCCAGGTATGTTTACACATACGAGGAATTTGTTTTCGTGACAGAAGCTTCCACAGTACATCAGGACATATCCCCCTATTTTCATATTATTGTTCAGCAAATACAGGATTTTCAATAGCCCATTCAAGTTTTTTTAAAGGTTCTTAAATATGTAGTCACAACATTGTAAAGTAGCACTAGTTGTTCATCAATAATATTGTGGTAATTTTGGGTGTTTCTAATACAACAGCTGTGGGAGTGACTGTAAATTTGACATAATTTTCTCTTCTGACTGCTGTTATCAATCTCTCTCTATTTTGTTCATCTTTTTAAAGTTGTTTAATACTGATGTGGAGTTTTTCTATTGCTATTTGAGCAAATGGGAACAGAAAAATATATATATTTGATGTAGTCTCCCATTCACACTGCTATAGACGTTTACTCTACTAACATCTTTCGCTTTAGAAGACTAAGCACAGTGTTGAAAAAAGTATCCAATCATCATATTTAATTAAAATCATGTCACGTTTATTTATGTATCTCTTTATACAAAACAGAAAGCAGCTTCACAGCAAAAAAAAAAAAGAAAAGGAAAATAACAGAATCAATGATGAACACCATTAAATCATCATGTTAATTTACCGTTGGTTCATCAGTTATGAAACAAGTTCAGTTAAGCTCAGCTTCACAGAAGACAACAGTGTCATTATTTAGCTCGAGCCAGTTCAGTGTCGAGTCAGTTCAGTTCAATATCAGTGTTAAGGCTGTAAACTGTGAAGAATATTTTAGCAGAGAACTGTTACTAAAAACTATTTTCTAATATAGGATTTTTGTTTTGCGTCCTTTTCTTTGTTCAAGTCAGTAATGTGATTTAAGGGGTGTTACTACATGGGAGGCAGTGGATGCCTTGTTAGCCTCAACCCTGTAAACCTTCAAAGGTCTGTTATTCTCCTATAATGAGTCATCAATAGCAAAGGGGGGGAGGGGGGGCAATGTTTACATTACATTGCATTGTTTACATTCAGCGCATAATCAATTGAGATTTGCAATGTAGTATATAATGCTTTATGTGAGTGTACAGTATGCGAGTAAAGTTGGATATACTTTAGCAGCAAATTGGAGTTAATTATAAAAAATTTAAAAAAACTTTTAAAAAATTAGTTTTGCAGTGTTATGGACATTTCTGAAATCTGTAAGGTTTTGTTCAATTCATAATTTAGTTCAGTGGCAAGTCTAATTGCTATTAGCTGATGTGTATCACTACCACAGTTAAATGACTCCTTAAAGGGATAGTTCACCCAAAAATGAAAATGTGATGTTTATCTGCTTACCCCCAGGGCATCCAAGATGTAGGTGACTTTGTTTCTTCAGTAGAACACAAACGAAGATTTT